ACACTGGACCCAAGCCAGGACCGGAAATCAAAGAAACGACTCATGGTCGGGTACAAAGAGAGGGCTTTTCTAGCCACCAAGTGGGCCACCCTATTACTACTCCGACCTATAAACCGCACACTAATCCCTGGGCTATTATGACAATATTGTAAAACTTCTTCCAGAACAGAGCCCATCCGGTTATCTCTAGCATCCCTGCAATTGATTTTGTCAATGACAATCTTAGCATCTCCTTCGAATCGCACCCCTGCAATCCCCTGCCCCAAACACCAAGTAATAGCCTCCCGTAGTACTAGCAACTCCACGACCCCTGGGTCGTCAATTCCCTGGAACTGAATCCCGTGAGCCAAAAGAACATCCCCAGAGGGAGACAGAAGAACCATGCCACCTGCTGAATGCGACCCCTTCCTAGTAGCCCCGTCCCACTGGCAAGTAAACCCTGCATCCAGTCCTGCCCCATCTGATCGTGGAACCACTGGGGGAGAAGGCATACGAGGCACGTCCACTGGCAGCCCCACCCACTCCTCATACTGCTGGGAAAACTGCCTCATCAACGCGGGGAACCCAAACTGCTTCCCTTCAAACACCACCCAATTTCTTGACCGCCAAATACGCCAAAGTATAGCGACAACTGCCATAACTAGCGTCGGCTGCTGAACTAAGGCCAGCAAACGTTTAAGAAACAGCGGAAAAGTATGGCGAGGCAACCCCTCCCCTAAGTATTCTAGCCCTAACAGGCCCCAGAGCTCACGCGCCACCGGACAATCCAGAAACAGATGCTCCATGGTCTCCGGGCCACCCCAACAGACTGGACAACGTGGGAGGACAGGGACCTTTCGAGCAATAAGGGCCTCTGCGGTGGGGAGAATTCGATTCAGAATTTGCCAAACAAAGACTTTCAGCTTAGGGGGGATATTCGCATCCCACAACCTGATCCAACTGGATCTATCCATCCAACTAGCCGACGCCTTCCACCTCCCCCTCCTCCTATCAAGGGAGACAGCCAGATGATAGGCTGACTTTGACCGAGAACACCCCATCAGGAGTAAAAGGCCATATCAGTTTATCCTCGATATTCTGCCGGGGCAGGGGAATAGTTTTTATAATACGGCAAGTAGGCGGGTCAAACCATTGGCTAAGCTTGAGGTCACACCAACGCCCTTCCCCCTAGCAAATTACCTCAGCCACAGTTGGATCTCCCCCCACTGGTAACACCACCGGATTATACCGCGGGGGATCAAGCTGCAATGGAGGAATCCAGGGGGATCGAAATAGGGACGCCGACCGCCCATTCCCAATTTGCCACCAGAGCCCCATCTCCAATAAATCCCGACCATATAAAATGCTTTGCCAGCCCCAAGATGGGCGTGACCTGGCTTTAGCATTTAGGAAATGCCCAGAGGGGAAGTATTTGCCCTTATAGACTTGAGCTAGAAGAGACTGAGGCTCCACTAAAATATGCCAGCCGATTTTGGCTAAAAGGGCTTGATTGAAATGCTCAAACCGACGGAAGCCCATACCCCCCTCATGCTTACTCTTACACATATCCCTCCAGGCCATCCATCTGATCTTAGAGTGGCCCGCCTCATCACCCCACCGAAAGCGAGCAACATGCTTGTCCAATAACCGACATAACGAAAGAGGCATCTTGAAGTCACATGCAAAGGTAAGGCCAAAGCAATAGATTTAATCAATGTCTCCTTCGCTGCCCAAGACAAGGTCCTTCGTTTCCATCCCTGTAATCTCTCCAACAGCTTATCTTCCAAATACCGAAAGGTTGCCATCTTAGAACGAGCAATCAAAGTGGGGAGGCCCAGATACTTATCCTGCACCCCAACAGCTCCAACACCCAAAATTGCCGCTAAGAACTCCTGGTCTGGAAGCGCAATGTTCTTACTGAAACATACCGCCGACTTAGCCAGATTGACGCGCTGTCCACTGAGTTCCTCATATTCATTTAGTACCGTTATCAAGGTCTCACACTCCTGTAGAGTGCCCCGCAGGAACAGATAAGAATCATCGGCAAAGAAAAGGTGCGAGATTCGAGGGGCACGCGGGGCCACCCTAACCCCAGCCAACTTCTTCTCCTCAATCGCCTTACGCAAGAGAGCCGCAAACCCCTCAGTGCAAAGCACAAAAAGAAGAGGGGATAAGGGATCCCCTTGACGCAAGCCCCGAGATGATCTAAAGAACCCAGATGAAGTACCATTCACCAGCACAGAGAAAGATGACGACCGGAGGCATTCATGTATCCAACCTTGCCAAACTGAGTTAAAACCCATCTTGTCCAAAATAGCAAGCAGAAACGGCCATTCGACTCTATCATAGGCCTTTTCCATGTCAACCTTAAGAGCCATGTACCCCTTCTTACCTTGCCTCTTAGTTTTCAAGTAATGCATTAATTCATGCCCAAGGAGGATATTCTCAACAATTTGGCGATCCCGAATGAAAGCATTTTGGCCAGAAGAGACAATATTACGCAAGAGGCCCGACAATCGTTCAGCCATGATCTTAGTTATGATTTTATACACAAATTGGCATAAACTGATTGGGCGCAATTGTCGCATGGATTCAACATTATCCACCTTCGGAATCAACGTGAGCCAGGTGTGATTGAAACTACGGAGCATCCTACCAGTCGTAAAAAAATAACAGAATGCGTCAATCACTGACTCACCCACAATACCCCAAAAGGCCTTAAAAAATTTCCTCGTGAATCCATCAGATCCGGGAGCCTGTTTAGCTCCCATCGCGAAGACAGTTTTACGCACCTCCTCCGGAAGGACAGTAGCTGTCAGTCCAGCATTCATTTACGGAGTTACGCTACGGGCGATAGGCAAAGCAGCAACACGCTCTCCCATATTATGAACTTGATTTTCTGAAGTGAATAGGTGGTCATAGAAACTGGTAGCAATATCCGCTTTACCCTTCTCATCAGTAATCCAATCACCGTTCTCATCTCTTAAACCCAAAACAAAATTTCATTTACGACGTGCCCTAGTCACTGTATGGAAGTATGACGTGTTTTTATCACCCTTTTTTAACTAGTGAACTCTAGACTTTTGCTGCCAGTAAGCTTCCTCCGCATCCCATTGTCTTGACAATTCAGTTTTTAGACCCCGAACCGCATCCCAATCAATTGGATGAGTGAGCTTAAGCCGCTCAATTTCTCCTTGAAGGGTCCTGATATTCCGCAGGGAATCGGTTGTTCCTGCTCTGCTCCAATCATACAATAAATGACACAATTTCTTCAGCCGCTCCCAAAGGCGAAACATCGGGGTGCCTTGGATATCTTCCTGCCAAACATAGGCAACCATGGCCTTAACTTCAGGGTTATCCGCCCACAGAGCATCAAAACGGAATAGGGGGCGACTATTCCGAACATAAGGCTTATCAGATAGGAGGAGCGCCCGGTGATCCGATCCCTGATCTGTAAAATGCTTGAGCAAGGTATCAGGGAAGCGGTCAAGCCAGGATTGCGAACAGAGGGCTCTATCGAGGCGCTCTCTTACACAGGCAGCCCCCATTCGTTTATTAGTCCAAGTGAATTGGTCCCCCTGGAACCCAGGGTCCAGAAGGCCCAAATTCTGTATAAAATTACAGAATTTGTTCAAACTTTAGACAAATACTAAATTTATTTAATTAAATATGTGTTTTAGCCTGGACAAAAAGTGGTGTATACAGTTTGGACCACCCCCGGGGCTTAAAAAACTGCCCTTGGAGACTTTCCCTTGTCTATAAAACTTATTTATTCCCTTGTTCACTCACAATCATGAAATATCCCCAGACTCTAGCCCCTACCGAAAAACCAACTGTTTTACTTATTTTTCTTTTATTTTTTGGATTTCTCTAAGAGTTCATCTTTACTTCATGATTATATTTTAAATATATTGCAAGTTTACACCATTTTAATACATCTATGACCATTTTGATTTGGATTTTCTTTCGGTACACTCAAACATCCATTCGATAGCATCTAAGCGTACTTTTACACACTTGATGCTTTTTTTTTAATGATAATTGGATATTTTTAAGCCAAGACATTATAAACGATCATTATGTACACGAACTACCCATAACCTATGAGTTGAAGAGCATAATCTGGTTTGAGCAAACTCAAACTTTGGGACGTTCTTAGTCCAATAAAGTCGACTGCATTATGGAGGACGAGAATACAAGTGTGTGGTCTCAATTATCGTCTCCAATGGCGCATAGAGCCTCCTTCGTATATTTTGTAGTTTCGGGCAAAAAGAGTAAGGTGGCTTCAGTATCAGTAAATTTGTATCCTTATTGAATGACTACAGGTTTAATGTTAATCCTATATTCACCACCAATACTTAGCAATACATTATAGAACGTTAGCATTTCCTACACACATCGTGTTTCCATGAAATGGTATTACAATTAGGAAGAGTAGAGCAATGAAGTTGCGCGACTGAAAGGAGAGGAATGAAGTTACTCGATGCTACAAATGTTCACTGTCATATCTAATCCCCATTATACAAATGTTCATTGGTAGCTTTGATAATGTTGGCTACTTGTTAACCTTTACTTGGTTCCAATGCTTGGTTATGTTATTTGTTAACTTGAGCTCGGTCGCAAGTTTGAGCACTCCATATTACCTCTCTCATTTACGTTTTTCGATCGGCTGCTACTAAACACATTGATGCACCTAATACGAGTAATTTGGAATCAACTGCTAAAAAGACCATTTATTTCTTATTGGTTCATCCCACACACTATTTCTATGAATCATTTAATCAAAGTTTTTTAATAAATGGATGCAAATCATCCTAGCCTTCATTCAAAATCAAACGGGGTTCGGAGACCCCTTGAATGTCATACAATAGCCCATAGGCAAAAATAGGATCCTCAATAGCAACATCATGTAACCTAAATTGTAGACTATGCCTTCGTTCAGCTAAAAAATCAGCACACTTGTTAATTTAAATCAAAGGTTTATAGATAACATATATAATAACTTAATGCGCGATAGACTCCTGGGTGGAAATTCGACTATCACAATTAGACTAATTCCAGTACATAAATAGCAGTCAAAGATCAGAAATTGTTGCCGACTTTTTCTATTTTTCATACAAAACTCCTCGAATTTCTAAGGACCTCAAACAAAATCACGGTTGGGAGATAATATCTCAAGACATTCTACACTTGAGAAATTGATATTATTCCCTTAAAATGGTTATAATGCCTCTATTTAAATAATAATTTCGTTAAACTCTAAGACATCAACGAAAGCTTCTCCTCACTCATAACCACTCGTGAGAACCTCTCATTTGCTCCAACAATGGCGAGTCTAAAAGTTGTGACATTTGTTGTTCTTGCAACACTTTTCATGTGCGCATTGACTATGAGAGAAGTTGAAGCTCAAGATAATGCAATCGGGAATAAAGGTGCAGATGCAGGAGGAGATGATAAGAGTGCTGCACCAAAAGATGTACAATCTACCAAGCCTGATGATCAGGCTGGCCAATCAGTGAATACTGGATCTGTTGATAAAGGAGATGATAAAAAGAAAGATGTTTCAAAAGTGAAAAAGTCTGATGATGAAAAAGATGACAACAAAAAAGAGGCCAATAAGAGTGATGACGACAAGGATGATAAGAAAGATGATGACAAAGATTCCAAGAGCAAGAAAGAGGATGATAAGAAGGAGAAAAGCAACAAGGATGATGACAAACGCGAAAAGAAGGAGAAACCCTCTAAGAAGGAAAAGAAGGACAAGGAAGACGAGAAGGATGACGAGAACTCAAAGAAGGATGATGATAAGAAAGACGATAAGAAGAAGGACGAAGACAAGGAGGACAAGAAGAAGAAAAAGAAGGAAAACAAGGACGATGATGAGAAGGAGGAGGACAAGAAGAAGAAGGAAAACAAGGACGGTGACGAGAAAGATGACAAGGATGATGAGAAAAAGAAGAAGAAAGATGATAATAAAAAAGAGAAAGATGATGATGACGATGATGACAAAAAGGATAAGAAGAAAGACGATGAAAAGGAGAGTGATGAGAAAGAATCCAAGAAAGATGGTGGTAAAGTCGAAGACCTTACGGCAAGAAAGATGAAGAGGTAAATTAAGTGAAAGAAAAATATTATTAATTGTGGGCATGGAGAATAAAATAAAATAATTCCATGGTAATTTTTATCCACGTGTAAAATAAAATCATCATTTTATTTGTTTTTTGGATAATTTTTTAGGTGTTTTGTTTTCTGCTATTTTTATGTAATTATAAAATGCACATTCTCTGTGCATAAGTTCATTAAAGTGGTAGCTTCTTGCCACTTCACTTACTCCTATTGATCTTCCATTTTCATTAAAATGAGTTGTTATACTTGATGAACTGAGATCGTCTGTGGCAATTTTATTTTGAGATATCGTTGATTTCTTATCATTTTCTTTCTCACCCATTCCACATTCAGCAACAACAACTTTTTATAAGTCTTCATATGGTCTGGCAATCCCAACTCTACTAGCAGTTATTAAGATGATTGTAGAAGACGCACATTTTGCAAGTGTTAGTTTCTCCTTGGAGAATTTATGCTATCAACATAATTGGTTGCTAAAGGCTAATGAGGTTTGATTCATCCAATTATTGAAGTGAAAAATATTCATTACTACCATATGTTTTTCATTTTAAGTTTTTTTTTTCTTCATTCCTTGAGGTTGAGAATTCAGAAACATTGAGCATGGGAGACCTATTAGGATGGTTGTCACGTTGTAGTATGCTCAATTTCATTTCTAACATTTTTGTATAGAGGATGCATGAGTCTTGGCCACTAATATATCACCCAAACAATGTGCCTTCACTACAAAGATAGACCCATCCGGTTAGGTTTTGATTGAATTTCATATTGGAACTTATGAAGACCTATTGATAACACCTAAATTTGAGTTATTTATCTTCCCAACAATATATATTTTCATGTAATATTGAGCGTTGATTGATCATTTGAACTCAATATATAGCATATAATGCTTTCCCACATGTATATGTTGATTAATAAATGGTATTGCGAGTTCCAAACGAATATGATGAGGTTTTAAGGTCGAAAGTGTAGAGAAGGAAGCATTTCCCTAGTTAGCGTGTAAAGAGTCCAGATCGCGTGAAACAAAAGAAAATCGCATTTGGGATCTTTGATCCCTCAATGATGATCTTGGGGAAGCTATGCACACAAATAAATAGAAATAATTCTTGTTTGTTACCCTAAAATCTCACCTTTAGTAGACAAAAGCGTTGTTGTTTCGAGATCATGGCCAAATTTGAAAAATCACTGTCGTGAATGCGTAGTAAAAATACAAGTGATAGAAAATCCTAGATATGCCTAGGTTTGTGATGCGAGAAGCTGACATCGGTGCGCGACGAAGAAGAAGAAGAAGTATCGAGCGAATTCGAAGAAGGATCTGAGGGTTTAGTTGTCTGCTGTGATGGGGGATGTTGACGCCGGCGCGAGATGAAGAAGAACAACAACGAGAAATTGAAGGAGGATCTGGGACAAGGGGCTCAAGGGGGTAGCGTGGCTGGCTCCATCTCTCCCTGCTCTCTGATGAGTTCGATCAAAAATGGTAGAGCCTAGAGGAAGGCGCAAAGCTTCGCGAGGAAGGAGAAAGGGTTTCGGGTCTAAAAATGGCCACTAACCCAATTTATTTTCAAATTTTGTTTTGTTAAGTGGGCTCGGGTTTGGTTCTAGGTCTGGTAGGGTTAATGGGTTGGGCATATGACATGGCGGGTTGGGTTTGATCATTTCCGGCCCAAACGGCGCTGACTAGGCGCTCCCGTTTGCCATGTCAGCACATAACGGACAATGTTAACGGAGTTGGACAGAGACGGACGGAGAGTGACTAAATGTGACCTGTGCCAGTAATTCTTGTGACCAAAGTTTAAATTAATTTTTTCTAGTGACTAAACATGACACGATTTAGAATTCCATTGAAAAGGCATTAATGTATATACGGGTTAATTACAAGTTTGGTCACTCGAATTGCTACAAAATTTCACGTTTGGTCACTAAAATTGGTTTATTCCATTAGTAGTTACTTAAATTAGTTGAACAGTCCAAGTTCGGTCACTCTCCGTTAGACTTCGTTAATGACGACCATTAAGTGATGACGTGGCTAACAGAAAATCACATTCAACATATTTTAACCCTAAAAAATGACTACCCGACCCGCCACGTCAGATTTGCCCGCCATGTCACCCTTCCCTACCCAAACCACAAACCGACCCAACCCCAAACCCGACCCCCCTGAATCTGAAAAGTAAAATCGAAATCGGAAAGGGTAGGTCACTTTTCATTCTCCATAGTCCTCTCATCCTCCATTGCCTTTCTTTTCACTTCATTTATGGGTTCTCCCTTTCCCTGTGGCAGGAGCAACGATTCGTTGCCAGATAACAGTAATCATGCCTATTTCCCCAGAGAGCAGCACAATTGGGTACCAAATCAGGCTCAAAAGGTCCGGTAGAAACAACTTCCATTTCCATCATCTTCATCGCCATCAGCTAGACCCAGCAGCAGCAGCCGAAACAGATCCCAACCCACAACTCTCTCGCCCTCCCAAATCCACCACCTTCTCTTCCCTCTTCATCTCCCCATTCTCTGCCAACTCAAGCGAACCCACCACAATCACCATCGCCAACAACAGTACTGTCGGCGGCAAGAAGAAGGGAACTGCTACCTTCAGAGGCTTGGGATGCGCTGTTGGGGCTGCCCGTTAGGTGTCTGTCCCGACGGTAATAAGGTCATCGGCGGAGTAGGATGGAAAGAAAGTAAAGAATAAGATGAAGAAAAAATTTGTGGTTGTGTCTCCTGGTCCTCCCCCGTCGCCGCCGCAGCAGAGGAGGAAGATGAGCGAGCAACAGGGGGTTATCGATTTTACTTTTCAGATTCAGGGGGATGGGTTTCTGGTTGGGTCGATTATTGGGTTGGTTTGCGGGTTGGGTAGGGAAGGGTGACATGGAGGGCAAATCTGACGTGGCGGGTAGTCATTTTTTTAGGGTTAAAATATGCTGACTGTGATTTCTGTTAGCCACGTCATCACTTAACGATCGTCATTAACGGAGTCTAACGGAGGTTAACAGAGAGTGACCGAACTTGGATTGTTCAACTAATTTAAGTGACTACTAATGAAATAAACCAATTTTAGTGACCAAATATGAAATTTTGTAGCAATTCGAGTGACCAAACTTGCAATTAAGCCACGTATTTACCCTAAATATATAAATACGAGCCAAAAGGGAAAAAGGGAAAAGGGAATAGTTAAGAGGGGGAAAGGGAACAGGTGGAAAATTCTGTGTGTCGTTTCAAATTGTTCCCGAGCTCGGAAGAGAAAACTGACACTGTGAAGGTTTGACAGCTGTAGCGATCAAACAGTTCGCGAAAGTCCGAGTCTCTCATATCCCAAACTTCGAAACGGTCGCTGCGACTTGGTGAATCGTTCTAGCGGTTGACGGCGGTGACGATGATCAGAAAGAGGGAAAGAGAAAACCCGTGTGGGGTTTGCGGGCACTACCATAAGTACGAAGAAGGCGAGGTTTGCGGGATTTGCGGCCACCGGATTCCGGATTCCTCCACCGACAAACCTTCCGTCCACATCAGCGCTTTCCCTTCTGAGATCCTTCCGGACTTTCTCTATTTGGGTAGCTACGACCACGCCTCAAGGTCCGAGCTTCTGAAAACACAGGGGATTTCTCGGATTCTCAATGTAAGTCTCTTCTGAACTGGGAAGTCCCCTGCTTTCTGGGAAGATTTAGTTGCTTTAGATTGTTTTTAATTAGGGTTTTTGGATTTGATTCAGTTAATGGGTTTGATTGGCTGTAGTGCTGATTGTGGATCGAGATGGATTGGGTGTGGTCTGCACATGAGGTGCTTGATGAATTGACTGGAATTATGCAAGGCAGCCGATGAATGAATTTATTACCAGTCAAATCCTTTGGCTGATGTACTGTTGACTTTTTTTTTTTGGGGTTATTGATAGAGCCTTAGAAATTTGATTCATTCTTGTTTTTATAGCTACTCGGTATGCATCCTACATATCTGGCCTCAAGATAGTACATCAAAATGAATGAGAGTGGGTGATGTGCTTTTGGTTTGAAGAACTGAATATGGTATTGTAATGAATAATGATCTGGATATATACATCAATCCTCCCCTTTCTGCTATCACATTATTGCGGTGAAGGAGGATTGAGTATGTTAGGTTCTCTTTTAGATGTCCAGGCATGCATATGATGCCAGTCAATAATATGCTGAACTTTTAATGTGTACTTCCTTGTTTCTTATTCTGAAGTAATAATTTGTAATACTCCATCATGATAAATGTTGTAATCTCACTTTCCTTATTGTATTTGTCCTATCTAGACAGTACCTGCTTGTCAAAATCTTTACAAGAACTCCTTCACCTATCATTGCCTCCAAGATGACAAAACTTTGCAGTTTGATGAAGCTATACAAATTTTAGGTGAGCTCTTAGTCTCTTCCGGATCCATCTGTTCAACCATAAACTGCATCTATCCGAAGTCAAGCTACTCTTAATGCCAATACACATTGCTATGCTTCCTTGATTTCTGAGGACATAATGTATAGATATATCCATGATCTCATCAATGCTGTGGATTTGGTTAAGAGTGTAAACAATATTTGCTTTTTTTTGGTTAGAACAATGCGAGAACGAAAAGGCTCGTATTCTTGTACACTGCATGTCAGGAAAGAGTAGGTAAGTTCGTTGCTGTAAAAATTGTTCTTTCCATTTTCTTTCGTCTTTTCATTTCTGGTCTTATTGATGAGCATGTTAATGGGATAATGTTCTAGGAGGTTAGGAAGCACATTGTGTATTGAGATGAGCGCGTTCTTGCTAGAAATCTACCCTGATCTAAATTACAATGGTTTCAACAGGTCTCCAGCAATTGTAATAGCTTACTTAATGAAGTCCAAGGGATGGAGGCTTGCACAAAGTTACCAGTGGGTGAAAGAACGAAGACCTGCTGTTGAATTGACTGAAGGTATCTGATTTACGCTTTCCATTTGTCTATTTTCCTCCTGAAAAAGCAATGGAATTTTGATGTCTAATTGTTTGAATTCCGCACCCTTCTGCTAAATCTCAGGGGTAAACCAGCAACTGCAGGAGTACGAGCAGAGGCTACTCTTGTCTGCAGATAACACCAATCCTGGAATTCCAGCCTTCCCACCAGCTGGCTCACCATCTTTTAGCTTTGGATTCCCAAAAGTCTACAACGATCTAGCACCACCTCCAGCTGCTAACTTTCCGGCTTTCAGTCCCCCTGGTGCCACCTCAATTTTCTCGCGCCCTCTGGATGTACCTCTGCAGGAGTTCCAGTTTGGGGCTGGCCTTCCTCAGGGTAACCCGAAAAGCCCTACCGGGGGAGATGTTTCAATGGATGCATAAAATAGAAAAGCTAGGACTCTGTGAACACTGTTTAGTAGAAGCTGGATTTGCTGCTGTATAAGGAGTTTTGTATTATGAAGTATGGATTTTTTTGGGAGTTCTTTGAGCTGTACTCGTCACTTTTCTTGTTTCTATACATAGTAGTAATTCATTGAGGGGGGAGGAATTGTTATTTTTGGCATTCTTTTCCGTCTCCCTATATCTCGTAGTTTCCCACAAATTGCAAGTTTTTTTTAATTGGAAGTTGGAACCTAGACCTGTTCCTTTTTCTCTTATAAAATTAATTTATCGGCTGAGGCTTGTGGTCAAACACATTTACGGATTTACCAATCTTGAGACATCTACTTAAACCCTATACCTACTGCATCTACTTAAACGTACCCTATACCTACTGCATCTAGTTAAACGTATCCTAAACCTAATGAGTGCAAAAGTTGGAGACATTGGTTCAATCCAGGTGGCGCAGCGCCAAGGTCATGTGTGTTGGTCAATAGGTTAACATCAAAATCTGCCCCTTTACTAAGTGGTTTTCTCACACTTATCTCTCTATTATTTTTGGGTTAATACCTTACTCTGGTTCAAACGATACCCGATTAATCAACTTTGACCCGTGGTTTCAGAAAAAGCTATTATGGTCTCAACTATATACCATATAGTCCAGCTTGGTCAGATACGTAATTTGGACGGTCAACAACTTTGACTAACGGTCAACGCTCTAGCTAATCGCCATGTCAGCGAAAAATAAATAGATAATTAAAATTCCAAATTATTTCCATATTTAATTTATTTATCTATCTTATAATAAAATAAACAACCAAAAAATAAATAATAAAATAAACCAAAAAAATTTCAACCCCTTATATACATGGTTGTCATGCCGGTCGGCATCCACCAGTTGAACCTAGTTCAACCGGCTCCGACCATGAAATCGACATGACACCACTGGTATGAGCGGCATGATCGATCTGCGAATTTTTAAGTAAAATGATGTCGTTTTAGTGAATTTAAATATAATTACATGTAAGAAAGAGCGCTCACAAATTCGGATCGATGGCCGCTGTCGCCGACGGAGCCTCTCAGGGCGCCGTCAGTGACGGCAGGTCCTGGGCTTCTCTGTTCCACGTTGCTGAAGAGAATCGATTGGAGTATTACGAGCCAGAATTCGTCAACGGATCTCTACGAATCCCTAAGTCGGTGATTGAGGAAGGAGCGAAGCATTGGGATAACAGTTTGGTTGGGCAATTCCTGGTCGATCCTCCTTCAATCTCGGCGCTCCGCTTCTGGGCTAACTGGATTTGGGGTAAGGAAGGTGAAATGAAGGTCTCTATGCTGGAGGACAGACTGCTGCTCTTTCAATTTCCTTCGGAATCGACTTGTCGATGGGTATTCGAGGGAGGCCCATGGCATTATAAGGAGAAGATCATCTGTCGAAGGCGTTGGGTTCCGGGAATCAAAGCATTGGAGATTAATAATTCGGCCATACCAGTTTGGGTCAATCTAACAGGTATTCCTGCTGAGCTAGCTTTACGAGAGGGTCTAGGGAGAATAGCGAGTTCTATTGGTAAACCTATGTGTATGGATCATTCAATATCCCAGAGGAGGAAGATAGGTGCAGTGAAGGTGTGTGTTGAGGTTAGTGCTAAGAAGCCTTTGGTGAACAGGATCAGTATTACCCCTGATGATATGGAGGAGATGTATATTGGGGTTGATTATTGTGGCTTGCCCCGGTGTTGCTCAGCTTGTGGTGTCTTTGGTCATTGACTGTTCGATGCCTCCTCTGGGAGCTTCAACCAAGAGGGTTTGGAGCCCGAAGAAATTGCAGGTTGCACCAATACAAGAGGTGGGTAATGTGGTTTCTAATCAGACAGTTGGGGAGAAAGAACCAGTGAAAGATGGGATTATTGTTGAGAATGCTGGGGAGGGAGTGTCCGAGAAGGGTAAGGAAGTAATAGTTGATTCCACTCCTCCAGTCACTCCGAGTCCACTTCCCTCACAGGAGGAGTTTAACAAAGTCATAAATGGAGCTAAATTGAAGTCTATCCCTAGGAAGTCTACACCTGTCTTGCACTCTAATGCCTTTGAGCTGCTTTGTGGGAGAGATATCAAATTACAGGCTCCTCAGAAGAAACTAGGAGGGCGTGAGGGGCTTAGGAGTAAGGGAGCCACAAAGGTGGCTGCTCCTCATAAATGACAACTCTCATATGGAATACAAGGGGCTTTAACAGTCCCCTGAAGCACGCTGCTGTGCTTAGATACATTAGAATTCATAAGGTTTCACTTTTTGCTCTTCTTGAAACTAGAGTAAAAACAAGATAGTATAGATACAATAAGGGAGAAATTTGTAGGGTATCAGTTCACTGATAACTACTCAAAAAGCATATTAGGGAGGATATGGATTGGGTGGAATGATGATATGAAGGTACAAGTGCTGAAGGAAGAGGAGAATTTCATTCACTGCTTAGTTGCAGGGCAGAAGGGGACTCAATTCTTCTTTACTGCAGTGTATGGTTCAAATGAGGAGAAGGATAGATTGCTAACTTATAGAGCTATGAACCAATGGAAGGTAAAAGGGTTCCCCTGGATGATTGGTGGGGACTTCAATGCCATTCTTTGCCCTGCTGAAGCATCAAATTCAGTCTCCATCAACACAAGTATGACAGATTTTAGAGAGTGGATTGATCAGATGGAAGTAGTTGATCATAAGGCAACATGGCCTGTCTTTACCTGGGCCAATCATCAACAACTCAACCCCATTGCCAGAAAGCTTGACAGACTGATGGTGAATGAGGACTGGTTTGAACACTTCTCGGACTGTGTGGTGGAGTTCATTCCTCCTGATTTTTCTTACCATTGTGGGATTATAATCAAACCCCATGTCCCAACCAAGAGCTTCCCCAAGCCTTTTCGGTTTTATGACATGTGGCTTGATCATCCTTCATTCTCTAATATTCTGAATAACTGTTGGCAAAATCCTTCTCATTCTGGTTTATTTGGTGTTAGGAAGAAATTGGTCTCTCTCAAGGTTGAGTTGAGGAATCTAAATAGAGAGAAATACTCAGACATATCTAAAAGAGTCAAGGAAAAAGAGGAAGCCCTCAAGGCTAAGCAACTGCAAGCTCTTGAGCATCCTACAGAGGTCCTATTTGAAGAAGTCAATATTATCAGAAAAGAATATCTTCACTTAGCTTCAGCGGAGGAGGCGTTTTACAAGCAAAAATCTCGTATCAGCTGGCTGGGATTAGGTGACTCAAATTCTTCTCATTTCCACTCCTCTGTTAAAATCCGAACTGCTAAGAAGCAAATAGGGAAACTTATTGCATCCAGTGGGGAGGAAATAACATAGGTTCAAGACATTGCAGATGAAACTGTGTGTTTTTATAAAAAGCTGTTTGGGGTGGTCAACTCAGAAGTGAAGGTAGATGACAATTTCCTGGAAGGCTGTATAAGAAACAAGTTATCTGCTGAAGATCAAAAGCTTTTATGTGACAAAGTTACTACTCAGGAAGTCAAATCAGCCCTGTTTGAAATGAATCCATCCAAAGCCCCTGGGCCAGATGGATGGAACACTGCTTTCTTTCAACGTTGTTGGGGTTTGGTGGGGCTAGAAATCACTCAAGGGATTCAGTACTTTTTTGCTTCAGGGCAGCTTCCAAGAGGTATGAACTCAGCATCTCTAACCCTCATCCCTAAGATACCTAATGCAGATAATCTCTCTGCCTATCGACCCATAGCCTGCATTAATGTCCTTTACAAAATCATCTCTAAAGTGATTGCCAACAGACTTAAAAAAGTACTACCTTCTATAATTAGTAGGAATCAGTCTGCCTTTATCCAGGGGAGAAGCATTATTGAAAACATTCTCATGGCTCAGGAAGTAGTACAGAATTACAATAGAAAACATATATCATCTAAAGGGGCTGTGAAGGTTGACCTTAAAAAGGCTTTTGATTAAGTAAACTGAGAGTTTTTGTTGTGTGTGATGAGGAAGATGGGTTTTCCTTCAGGTTTCTGTCAGCGGATTTGGATTTGTCTATCATCAGCCTATTTTAGTATCACAGTTCATGGGAGTCTTTTTGGTTTCTTTCAAGCTGCAAAAGGGGTGAGACAGGGGGATCCAATCTCCCCCTATCTCTTCACCATTGCAACGGAACCACTCTCGAGTATGTTGGATAGGGCTGCAGGGAATAATGAATTGCCTTTCCATCCTCAATGTAAAAATATTGGTCTGACTCACCTTGTCTTCGCGGATGATCTTCTGATCTTCACAGAAGGGTCAGCAATGGCCCTTAGTAGAGTTCGGCAAATACTAGATGATTTATAAACTTTCAGGACTTCAATGCAATCCAGAGAAATGAGAAGTTTTCTTTGGGGGACAGGCAAACCAATTTAAGCAGAATGCTATAAGTGTATCAGGATTTAAAGAGGGCCACCTTCCTGTGCGCTACTTGGGACTTCCATTGATTGCTGGTAAACTGACCAGCAGGGAGTGCTCAATATTAGTTGACAGACTCACTAGTCGTATTAGAGGATGGAGAGCAAATAAGTTGTCTTATGCAGTGAAGCTCCAATTAATAGATTCTGTTTTGTATTCCATTATCAATTACTGGATGGCTATATTTGTTTTTCCTAAGAAAATGATCAAGGCAATTCAGAAAGTATGTGCTGATTTCTTGTGGCATGGAGATGGGACTGGTAGAGCAAAAGTGGCATGGGAAAATCTGGCAGTGCCCAAGTAGGAAGGAGGTTTAGGAATGAAAGACTTACTTACTTGGAATGTGGCTTGTGTCTCTAGACTTCTCTAGCTGCTGCTCCTTCAAGGTGGCAGTTTTTGGGTAGCCTGGGTTCATAAATACAGAATCAGAGGGGGATCTATCTGGCAAGTTACCAATAGTTCGACTAGTTCTTGGATCTGGAGGCAGCTGCTGAAGATCAGACCCTGGGTCCAGTTTAGATTAGATGTTGATTCATTGGGAAAAGTGACATGGCAGGGGAAGCAACTAAGCAAATTCTCAGTGTCCACCATTTGGCAGACCATAAGGCCTAAAAACCAGTGGTTGATTGGTGGAAGGTTATCTGGAATAGGTTTGTTATACCTAAAAATAGAGTGTTGGCTTGGCTGATTATTTTGGATCGAATAGCTACTAAAGACAAACTGAAGCGCTGGGGGATCTTACAGGAAGAGCAGTGCATTCTGTGTAACAATGGTATGGAGACCCGTGAGCATCTCTTTTGTCATTGCAGTTATTCTGTTGAATTTGTGAATTGTCTTTTACAGCAGAGGCTCAGCTTGGCCAGCAGATGGGAAGATATGTTGCAGCTGATGTGCAGAAGTGCAAGATCAGGAGGGGACAATGGTTGTGTTGAGGTTGTGTTTTGGTGTTGGTGTGTGGCCTATATATGGAAAGAGAGATGCAGAAGATGCTTTGGAGTGCAGGCTAAATCATCTTCCCAGTTAGCAGAACAACTGCGTGAAGAGATTAGATTGTGCTGCTGTGGAAAGCCAGAATTTGAGTCTAGGGTGAAGGGTTCGGATTACTCTAGTTGTCTTTTTTAACCTTTCTCAGTTTTTCTGATATGTATTGGCTTTGACCAAACTGTATTTTTTCGACTCTTAGCTGAGTTTACAGCTACAGAGGAAAAGCTTAATGAAACTGCTAATTACCGAAAAAATATAATTACATGTAATTTTATTTAAAATAGCATATTTTATTTATATATCAATATGAATTGTACGTAAATTATCTTCAAATATTGTTTATATATGATTAAATTCATTTGACATTAATGGTTTTTGACATTTCTACATATTTTATTAACCGGCATGAACTGACACAAACCGGTTGTACCACTGGTAGAACCATTCCACTTGCTAAACCGGCACAACGGTATAAACTTGTTTGACAACCTTGCTTATATCAGAATCGAAGTTGGAATTGTGAATGCAAGGGTATGAAGCAACCAGATCGACGCGGTGAAACAAAACCCTAGACTGACTGCAGTAGGTGGCTCAAGATAGGGTGCATAATTATGAGTAACCAAATCTGGACCCTTCTTTTAAGTGATTGCCGATCTAAGGGTGTAGAATTAAAGAAATTTATTTTCCCTAGTTTTCTTGATTGGATCATATCTTCTTCATTCTAACTCGGATTTCAATTTTTTTTTGCACAGATGGAACGAGTTTGTTGTGCTCTATAAAATGATATCCATTTTCAATATTTTTTGAGAAAAAAAAAATTTCATACCTCTCGTTACCAACTCCATACCATATGGTATCTCCTTCGTGTTTCAGTCGTTTTCGAAAATTTTTGCAGAGAAGGAACGATTTAATCATATGATCTATTGGATCTCAAATTTTTCTGGGTGAAAAAATTTCATACCTCTCGTTACCAACTCGATACCATACTATACCACCCTGGTATGGGGTGGTATTTTTCATACCATATGGTATGTTGTTATTTAATACTAGTCAATACCATATGGTATAGACTGGTAATAACTGGCAATTTTTTTTGTTCCAAAAAATATCAAAATGGATATCATTTTGAAGACCACAATTAATCTGATCTAACAATGCAAAAAATCGAGTTAAAACGAGTGAGAAATCGTCCATTAAAGATTAAAGGAAGGAAAATTAAAGGTTTTTTTAGGAGAGAGAAAGAGACGCTGATATGGTGGATTCCTATTGAGTTATGCATGGGTTATAGGACCACAAGGTTACTCACCAGATCTGCTTCCGCAGTAGGCCGTCCAAGTTCCGATGATGAAACTGAGGTTGGAAAACGAAAGGCAGGCAGAGCCTTCTCTTTCCACCCCTCTTCTGAAGAAGGAAAATGTATAGAGAGAGAGAGAGAGAGAGAGAGAGAGAGAGAGAGTAAGAAAGCCACTCATTCCCAAACCATTCCTCTCCGGCCATAGCCGCCAACCCCACCCACACCATCGCCCCTTCCTCCTCTTGGCGGCGCGATAGCGCAACAGAGCACGACCCAGGAGACCGCAATTGAATCGCTCCCCTTCTTCCAATTCTCCTCCCTCCACGGCGTCAGGGATGGCCTCGAGTGCGCCATATGCATCTCCAAATTCGAGGATGTCGAGATCCGCCTGCTGCTGTCGTAGTGCAAGCACGCCTTCCACATCAATTGCATCGATCAGTGGTTGTGCCGTGCTCTAACTGTGTCGTGTCGTTCTAGCCCGTGGGCGGCCCGACCCGGTGTCCACGTACACTCTCGTCTCTCACCTAATCTCTTGTTATTTTCACAACAGCAAAAAGCAAACACTAGTATTAATCATATCATTGCCTCCAATTTGAGATATCACATCTACTCCATTCTCCTTATCCATATCCTATCTCTAAGCACACTCAAGAATTTTTTTGCTTAGTCTCTATGCACTAAATTAAACAATTAAATCTAATATATTTAATTATTAATTATAAATGTAATTAATTTCGTATTAGATAATACCACTTGAGATACCAAGATACCGGTATACCAAAATATAGCTCAATTGCAAATTGATCACTTAAATTACTAGTAAAATTCACGTTAACCACTAGAATTACTTTATTCAACATCGACTCCTCGTTCCGCCTAGACCTCGCCGCCTACGACTACGAGCGCCAAGGCAACCTTTATCTCAGCACATTTTTCGCCATGACTTTTGCAGTTGGGTTCGCCGCCCTCACCGCCACAATTATCCACGTTGCCATGTTCCGTGGAAGGTAATGTACGTTTCCACAGATTCTCTCCCTTTCACAATGGCCCTCAATTCCCCTGTTTTTTTCAATTTCTCCTTTGTTTTTTTTCTTTCAATTTTCCTTGTTTTCCCCGAATTATGCGTTTTGAGGATTTGGGGGGGTTTCTGAAGCAGAATTGAAGCGGAAGAGGAGGGAGAAGAAGAGGGAGATTGTGACGGAGACGGGATCGTGGGGTGGTCGCCGATTATTTTCCGGTGGAAGAAGAAGCAGAGGAACCACAGGGACCAGATGACGATGGCCGTCAATCACGTCGTCAATGTACGTGAAGGTGACGATGGACGAAATTTCTGGGTAGGGATGAAGATAATTAGGTTTTATTTTTTATATTTTAATAATTTTGATAATGACGTGGAAAATAAAAATAATTAACTTAATTTTTTAACTGCCACGTCACTCATTTAACGGTTAATTAAGAGAGTTGACCGCCACATCAGCAAAAGTTAACGGAGAATAACAGTCAATGATCAAATTTGGATTGTTAAACTAATTTAAGTGACCACGAATGGAATAAAGTAATTACAATGACTAACATGATCTTTACTAGTAATTTAAGTGACCAAACTTGCAATTTAGCTATTGAAATATTTAGGGATTGAGATACTGAAATTATTTAAAAATTGGAATTAACATTGATTTTAACGTGTAATTCGCTATTCGACATTTCAGTATTTGGCATTGAAATCTAGATACCGTACTGATTTCCACCCTCGCTTGAAACCTTGAACATTCCTCCCAATGTCCTAAATGCCCTTATGGCGTCTCTTTGTTCCTCCACTTGTTGGCTGTCCATGGAAAATTGGTGTCCCATTTGGGCATCTGGCCATATCCCATGAGAAATTCAACTTTCTTTCTCCAATTTTGGCTCTCGGTTTAGCTGGGTTAAACCTTAAATCAATTAAAAACTTCAAAAGTTGCGAAAGATCAAAGCTTTGTTGGAAGAGTCGAGAAGGGACGCAGCCACAGGGCAAAGAAGAATTGCGGGGCAGAAGCAAAGATGGCTATGCAAACTGCAGCCGTCTCTTCCAAAGTACTCATTCTTGTTGGCGCCGGCGCAGGTTTCTTCCTCAATTTTTGATTAGTTTTGTTTGGGTTTATCTGTTGTTTGATTCAGTTGGATTAATAGGTTGTTCGTCTCTTTTCTGAATGTTCAAATGGTTGGTGTACGTTTCAATTATTAGGTTTGACAAGTTCGATCATATTGAAGAACGAAAGATTATCTGAGGTGATTGCCCAGCTGCAGGAATTGCTCAAGGGTGTTCAAGATGCTGAAACGTCGCCGTATAGATACGATACTGCTGTCCTTGCAGCCCAGGTACTTTGGCCAATTTTGCTTCCAAGAATATTGGAGGGAGCTTCTTTTCTTCCGTAGTTTCTGTTGACCTGCTAGGTACTGGTTTTATTCACTTGAGCATTCGTGATGTAGTTGCTTGCTTTTTATCTATTCCCCGTGTTGGTGATGAAGTTAGGATAGGAATTAGTGAATGTTTCGTTATCAGTTGCAGGACAGGACCAGGCTAATTGTTAGGATGATGCAATTTATAGAATTACCATCATCCTTAGGAAACTGAATTGGTAATCTTAGGACATTGAACAGGAAATGAGCTTGGTATGTCATTTATCAGTAAGATAGTTGTTATCGATGATCTTTCATCTTTCTCGTGTATGCTTGCAATAGATTCGTGAGTTGGCTCAAGACATAAAGGAGATATCCATGAACAATCATGTAACCATCTTCAATGGGAATTCTGAAAGTGGTACATGTTCTGTTCTTTCTTGTTAAGGAGTGTTTGCAGTAGGCTTCAATTAGTACAAACCAAGCTTAATATGCTTTTTTTCTTCTTCTTTTCAACAGGAAGCTTGGCATCTTATGTTATGCCGGCTGCTGCACTAGGAGCGATGGGTTATTGTTACATGTTGTGGAAGGCATGTTTCTTACTGCTGAACAAAAAAACCCATTCTTTCGGACCCTGTTCTTCGTATAATTACACCCGCAAGGTTTCATTATATGCTTGTAGCCAATTTAATCATGCAACCCTTTTTATTATTTTCTTTAAGAACAGGGGTTGTCATTGTCAGATGTAATGTTTGTGACGAAGCACAATATGCAAAATGCTGTTGCATCTGTTTCTAAACAATTGGACCATCTATCTGATTCCCTTGCAGTAAGTATGATGGGTTTGGTTTCATGAATCATATTCTTGTAAATTCTATATAAATCTGATTATGTATTTAGCCAATTTCTGCAGAATACGAAGAAGCATCTAACCAAAAGGTTGGAAAACTTGGATTGGAAAATGGACGAGCAGATGGAGTCATCTAAGCAAATTGCTAGTAATGTAAGCATAATCCACGTGCATATGAACTGTTACGTCTATCATCTATGAACAAACTGGTGAACCTTTACCCATATTGTGGAACTCCTCTGAGTTGATTGCTTTTTCAAATCCTGTGCAGGTAGGTGAAATGAATTCTAACCTTTCAGAAATTGGATTCAATGTTGGGACAATTCATCAAATGATAGCTGGCCTGGTGAGTTCCTCGGTTGTTTCCCACGTAAATTTAATCTCCATCACCAGATTCCTTATCTAAATCTCCTTGTGCTCAACAGGAAGGAAAACTCGAGCTTCTGGAAAGCAAACAGGTTTTCCATTTCTTCCCCCTCCTTTTGCTATTTTGGTTTGTCGGTTTGTTCAAGTGTGCTTTTTGCAGCAGTTTCTGAACCTAATACAATCCATGTTACTGTAGGATGCAACAAACTCAGGTATTTTGTACTTATGCCAAGTTGCTCAAGGCATGAAAGATGGGTTTGGTAGAAAAGTATCCAAGGTCAGATAATCCATCTAGCACCGTTACCAAACTTTGCAACCTATCTTACTTCCATCAATCGATTGTATGTAAACTTATTTCGGCCTTTGTACTCGCATCAAACATTTCTGCAGGAACTTGGTGCCAAGGTTGCCAACCTTGTGCTGACCAACGGTGAAGAAATATCTCTCAAGGTATGTCAGAGTCGAACCTTGGTTCCCCACCAAATGACTAAATGAGTAGGTTTTGCCCCCTTGTTGAGATTGTCCAATGACTCGGTTCAAAACATCTATATTCAGGGCCTCCAGTTTCTCGCCGAGGAGGACTCCATGGTCAGAGCCAGTAAGTCGATAGAAAAGGTAAAGACAGCTGATCCTGACATCACCAGCCTCCCAGGCGAAAAATTGACAATCACAAGACCAAGATTCATTCACAGGACAAACCCAGTTGGGCTGTCAGGTTTTGGCACTGGAGCTTGAGAAGCCACCATCTTCAAAAGATTGATCTTGTATAATTTTGTACACTTGAGTTTTCACATTGGTTCGGATTATCACATTTTGCATTCATCTGCTCCATTATTTCATTGGAAAGAAAGGATTCTATGGACGGTATGATGTATGATGGTATTGGAAGTTTGTAACACAGGAGAGGGAAATAGCGAGGGCATATAGAAATAAGTCGGTACTTGGAACATGGAAGAGCGCCATCGATGAAACTTAGAGAACTAGTTCAAGAGTTTGTAATAGTTGTTGTATACTTGTGTGAATGGAAAAATCAGATTGAAGTTGCGGGTCCTTCATGATTTCCATATAGTAATTGTTTGGTTATCCAGTTTCAAGGAACTTGCTTGGCTAAGTCAGGTTGGAAAGTCGGCCAACCACCAATCCTGGGTACTGCTAGCATGAGATCAAATTACTCAATCGACTCATTTGATTTGATCAAATGACGAGTTTGTCAAAATGAATTCATTTACTTCTTTATTTGTAAGAGATGCAGTTACTTATTTGAGTTATTTTATGTCGAATGACTACTTTGTCAGCGAAAGCTTATTTGTAAATGACTCGATTGAATGATTTGTAAATGATTGTTCTCGGTCATTTGCAAACGAATCATTTTTTTATCTTTACTTTTCAATTTTCTCTTTCAATTTTCTCGTATATCTAATACTAACTCTTCTATATTTTTCTTCATAAACCCAATACTTTTCAATTATTTTCAAACAATACTTTCCATTGTTTTTATGAATTAGTTACGTTATACCATAAAGAAGGTATTGGCTACACCCCTAGCCAATTAGGGACCATCTATATGAGATATATACATAAACCTATATCAAAGGAAACAAAACTATCAGAACTTACCCATAGAAGAGAGTTGCCAAAACTGCAAGGTAATGGATGGGTTGGGTGGATTTTGATCTCAAATTGAGTCACATTCTTATTAGCAAGTTGGAATAATTGTGACCCGCAATCCACCCACATACTTCTGCGAGTTGGATTGGGTGGGTGGCGGATGGGTGCGGTTGGGTCGCGGATCAACCGGCAAAAACAATTCTACAACTAGCCATTAAGAAAGTTGACTAACATTTATAATAAGTTCATAGCAAATTAGTAAGACTGTATCAATAATTTGTTATTTTGATACAATTAATAATTTGTACTTTGCATCCCATATTTAATGGATATTAATAATAATTTGCATACCAATATTCAATATCTAATGGGTAATGCACAATACAATAACCAATAATAGTAGTCAAACCTATTCTTTATTCTCCACCTTTTGAAGTATATGGTCAAACACTCAGACTGTAGTGCAGTTAGAAAATATGATGAATATTCGATACTATAAGAAATAACATTTTTTTCATGTAAAAATAGGATGCAGGTCATACAAGTGACCCGCAATCCACCCACCCACATAAGTGCGGGTGGGAGATTTATCAATCCGCAATCCACCCACATCAATCATCTATTGCGTGCGGATCAGGTTATTTGTCGGTGGATCGATATCAATCTACGAATTAACCACCCACGTGCACACCCCTACTGGAACCTACCAAAAATGATCCATCGGTACCCCCAAAACATATTTAAGCTAAGCAAACAAGAGACATTCCTAATTGAGGAATTTTACAATGCTATATAGCATTGGTGCTACAACTTCAGATTGTACCTATACTCTTATTTACAAATTTTTTTATGATACAGCTTGAACTTGTACCTTTATGTGATGATACAAATTCAAGTTGTACCATAACATAAGAGTACAAATTACTTTCTGGTACAACCTGAACTTATACATTTAACGTTATGGTACATGTTCAATTTGTACATTAAAACACCAATGCTTTATAGCATAGTAGAAGTGCTCCTTCCTAATTGCTCCATCATAAATCCTTCTACACCTCTCTCCAAACATGGCTCAACATCGCACACCATATGACTCTTCCTGTATCAACTTTTGGAGACGTGCCTTGAAACATCTTCTCTGCCCATCTCAGCTCGAGCTCCCAAGAACTCTCTCCAGTATAAGGGGGAAAGTTTTCCCAAGCAACCCAACAACAATTTCTCTGTAAAATGAACAGTCTGCAAACAAATGGTCTATAGACTCCAGACCATGATCACAAAGCACACAGTTCATAGGTATAGTATATCCCCTAGTATGCATTTGATCCCTAGTTTGACTCTTCCGTTTTGCAATTAACCTTACAATGAATCTATTTTTGGGAACACCAATCCCTTTCCAAACCAAGTTAGCCCAACTCACCTTAGGAAGCTTAGTTATAAGAGAGTTCCAGGCAACCTTGAGTGAGAACCGAGCCATACAAGTACTATCCCACGAAAGATCCTCCCCTTGTGTAGAGAAGTGTTGCTGCACCATAAGCCTGAGTTTTAGAAGTCTTCTCCAGTTCCATTACCTAGAAGACCTAGAGTATTGCAAAAGACTAGAAGTCTTCATCTTATAATGAGAAATCCATACCACCCATATGGAACCTTGCTACGTAAGGATGGACCAGATGTGCCTAGTAGCACAAGCATAATTCCAAGTAATGATGTCTCGAAACCCAAAACCTTTTTCCTTGCTTAGGATAAGTAAGGTGAGACCATGCCAACACATCCCTATGCCTCTGACCCACCCCTACACTCCAAATAAAGTCATTGAAGACTCTCTCCACTTCTCTGATGACAGAAACCCACTTTTCCGTTCGTTAAAAACATAAACCTTTTAAACTTAGACTATCACTCCAGTATTCCTTAGAGATCAAGGAACAGAGGAATGCCGACTTTGATACCAAAATGTAACATCCTGATCCTTTTAACCATAAATATAAAATTGTCGCTCCGGAGCAAAGTAAAATTCCTTAAAACCAAACAAGGAAAAAAAACTGAATCATTCCTCAAAATTCAAATGTAAAGGCCTAAGCAATTGGACAACTTCAATCCATAAATAATAAAACAGAAACTCTGAATCTCTAGTTTATACTCATAATCATGACACGAAAACAACTAACAGTTCTAGCTGCAACTTCTTATTGTGATCATTCCTGAGACATCTTCATTGATGATGTTGTTGCTTATTTCGCACAATCTCCTCTCAAGCTACTCGCCCTTTAACCCTTACTCTACCTGGAGTGAGAAGGGATCAGTCAACGCCGTTACTAAAACCTCATAGCACTTAAGGTCCCCTTCACCATACAAACTTGTGGAAGTTATTTATGCTCTCACCCTTTAACATTAACACTCAGACACGTGGGAGTTGTAATTGCTCGCCACCCTAAAAACTCAAACATTATGCCTTTATTTTGTCGGAGTTGTTCTTACTCCCTTTCTTTAAGTTTATTCTTTTAATGACTTGTGGAAGTTGACAATACTCTCCACCCTTAACCTCAAAACTAGAAGCTCCTTAAGGATTTATGGACGGTTGTTTTGTGCTCGGCTACAACGTCTACGAAAGTTCTTCAGGATCGCTAGCGTACTCGTATGATGTAGTTTCTCAGTCGCCTCAAGCCCGAGTTCGAGTCAGTTCGGGCTAACCTTATGCAAAGAGAGAATCTGAAGATGGATGGCATTCTGGCCACCCTTGTCTGTGAAGAAACGCGAGTGGTGTAGGTTTGAGCGAGATGAAGTCATATGTCTCTCGCGTGCATAGCAGTCGGAGAACCAAAAAAGAAAATTGGATCGATGGTGCTCAGGAGATATGGTTTCATCAAAGCATCGGTCTGAGTCCACTTGGACAGGTCTTCTACAGACGATGTCTGAACGACTGGCTTCTTGGACGTGCCATCCAGAAACGGAAGAAGGCCTTTGTCTTCAATGAAGATACGAAACTAGAACTCCCATAGTGCATAATTCTTGGAGTTTAATCGAACTGAAACCCTGTAAAAATTCATAGGCGATAGCTCTGATACCATGTTAGTATCAAAACACTCTTAATAACGTATACGAAAACAAGGAAGAAAACGAGACACGCATTTTACATGGTTCCCTGATATCGAGACTAGTCCACGAGAGAGCTAGAACACTCTGAGTTGATCGTCTTATTATGTTTTCTTAGTTTGGTTTACATGGCTGGCTTTACATATATATTGTCGCAACCTTAGCTCTCTCAAGCTCCTGCTAGGGCTAGCTAACGGCGACCTCCCATGCTTACGTACATACTAATACAATAATGGGCCAAGAGCCCAATACCACTAACAGCCCACCCCTACGTTCAAAAGTACCAAACTTCTGTCGCCGACCACGACCAGACGTTTAAAACATGCGCTGTCGGCTACGATCGAACAAGCAGAACTTCAATCGTCGGCTACGTCCGGATGTATGAAAGACACGTTGCCGACTATTCTGAAAAAAATCTATCATATTTATTTGCTCACCTAAATAACAACTAGTTTAGGGCTGATTTTTTTGCATATTAAACGAACAAATTATCTTTTATTAGATGAATTCAAATTGAAGCACAATCATGGTATCCAACTTTGAATTCTTTCTATATTGATAGTTTCCCCATAATCAAACGTTATAACTTTCTTTGGAATCAAAATTGATATTTTTCCCATTTTATTTAATTTATAATAAATATATTTCCACTTGAATTTGACACTTATCAACTAAAATGGGAGCATGGGCCATGGGGTGTTGGTGGACGACGACAGTGGCCGGCGACGCTGGTTGTTGGTGGTGGTCGGAGGTGGTGACGTCTTGATGTGTTTGGAAGAGAGAGTTCAAGAAAACGAAACATTTTTACCGTTAATGTAAATTTTAATCTTTTATGACTACAAATAAGCTTTTATGATGGCTTTTTCCAGAAATAGAACTGTTTAATTTTTTTTCCAAAAATAGCAACCAGTCCAGAAAAATTTCAAAAATAGCACCTTTTCTCGAAAACCGCAGGGTGAGGGCGCAGTTTTCGACGAAAACCGCACGGGTAGGGGACGATTTTGCTGACCGCATGGGGCCGGAGCGGTTTGGGTGCAAAACAAGAATTATTTATGAATAACCATAACTTTGTGCTCCAAAATCCGAACGTCATGAATTTTTTTTTCATTTCGCATAACTTTTGAAGGACTACAATTTTTACCAGGAAGAAATTTTCAAAACATGAATTATTTTTGGATATACAGGATTTTTGGAATAACTTTACCTTCTCTTTTCACAAATCCACGTACATTCCGAAATTATGTCTATGATAAAAGTTGCAGTCCTTGAAATGTTTATGCGAAATGAAAAAAAAAAACAATCATGACGTTCGGATTTTAGAGTACAAAGTTATGGCCGTCCAAAGTCATGACGTTCGGAAAAAAGCTTGTTCGAGGTAGCAAACGATATTTTTTCGGGACGAAGGCGGGACGACTTGCACGATCTCGAAAAATTATGCAAAATAAAAAAAAAATCGCGACGATCGGCGGGACGGCTTGCAAGATCTCGAAAAATAGTATACGACCTCCTCTGTTAAGTGCGTATTTTATCCGACCCGTTCTAAAACAGGACGGATCTTGCCCCAACCCGTGAGAAGAACGGAGCGAATATGGATACTATTCTACAGTCTGCCCCGCTCTGCTCTGCCTCGCTTGCAATCCAACTACTTAAGTTTTAGACCCATAATCATTTATTCATTAGCTCGTCTAACAAGAGAGAAAGGCTTTCTCATGTTTCTTGAACTCTCCAACTACAAATATATATAGAGAAACACATGTCAATGGCTAACCTAGAGAATAGAGAGTTCAATTAATTATGCACCAAATGAAATTTCTTTTAGAGTTTCACACCTCCTGGTTTCGTTTGTATATATTCCATTTAATTGCCCAATCCCCACAATCACCAATTGCTATTCTCAGAGAAATATAATGGGGTCGTGGGTATGGGTGACTATATGGTCCGGTCTGGTTAAATTGGCCCAAATTAATCTGGTCCAGTCCGGTCTTTTTGAAAATATAAGGACCAAAGATTGGATTGGATACAGTTCGGTCTTGATCCGGTCCGGTCCCAATTCGGTCTTGATTTTATATTGAACTTGTGGAGATTTGAGTGGCCTAAGGCCTGAAAGGATGAGGAGTTGGTTAAGTTTTGTACTATGTGCAAAGGTTTGTGACCGTTTATGCAAATCACCCTTAAGTTTTGGGTGTTGAGCTCTCTTATTCGATCATTATCCAGTTTTCTATCCGCTCCCGAACGGTTTTTTTTACCTCAAATCCAAGCCCAAAGATTGGATTGGATTGTTCACTATCCGGTCCCGGTCTGGTCTCGGCCCGGGTTATAGGGTTCGGTTTTGGATAAAACCAAAAAACCCGGACTAAATAGCCAGCCCTAGTTGTGGGGGGGGGGGGGGGGGGGGGGGGGGGTGAGAGAAAGCAGATTATGGGAAAGCGCTTAAGATAGAAAATAAAAAAGGTGGAGGCCTTTGGTTGTCGGCAATATTGGCTTGGTGGACAAAGGTTTTTACCCGATCCGTACGGATTTTGTATGGGGAAATTTTTTTTACCTGTCCTGGAGCAAGGAGTAGAGCGGGGCAGCATGTGGTTGGGCATGGCACGTGTTTGATGGCACCTGCCCCATTTCAGACCCGTTGCCATCCCTTACCCGAACACAAAGATACGTTCGTTTGAAGTTTCCACCTAGGTTAGGATTTTTCCAAAAAAAAAAAGGACCAAACCGTAGGTTTGGGCAGTGGTTTTTAAAACCTCCTCGTAACCATGCAATTTTCATAAAAAATCGCGCCCGCTTAGCGGTTTTCGTGTAAACCGCGGGGTGGAGTGGTGGTTTTCGAGAAATGGTGCTATTTTTGAAATTTTTCGGGATTGAGTGCTATTTTTATTTTTATTTTTGTATTTTTTGTAAATAGTGCTATTTCTGGAAAAAAATCCACTTTTATGAGGGCTAGAAATAGTAATTCAGTTTCCGAAAAATCAAAAGAGAAGAAATATATGCATATATTTATGCAAATCATGATAAAACGAGTCGTTAGCAAAATGAAACACTAGACAAATCTAAAGTAATACTCATACTCCGTCCCACGCTATTACGAGTCAGGTAATAATACCCACCCCAAACCGATTGAGACGGGTCAAATGGCGCACATCCCTACTAATCAGACTACACGCACAACCTGCCCAATTCTTCAATGCATATCCAGTAACCTCACGACGGCCCAAAACAATGGGCCACGGTTAAATGGGCCAACCGACCCAAACTTCATTATCTCCAATCGGTTCGTATAATAAGGAATTTATGCGTAGGGCAGATGCTTTCTCTCCCTCTTTCGCGAATCGGGTTCGCTCGCTCTCTTCCTTTCCGTGAGAGCATTTTCTTCCCCCCACTGGTTGTGTAGTTGCTCTTTCCTTCTCCATCTCCAAGAAGCCAACAGCAAAGGTTTGTCATTTCAATCTCTTCTTTCGTTTTTCTTTACTCGTTAGCAGCAATATTCATTTTGTCAATCATCCTGCAATCGAGGTAAACGTTCCGATCTTTTCTCGTCCTCCGAGGTTTTTTTCTCTCCTCCTCTTTGTAGTTCGTCAATCTGCTAGTTAATATCGAATTCGATTTCTTGTGACCGTTCCGGGTTTTTTCATTGGTGTGCTTTGTTTTCGTATGGGTTGATGATCATTCATCGTGGGCATGTTGGTGTATGATTTCTTCACCTTCGAGAGTTGAGGTGTTCGAGAATTAGGGTTGACGCGTTTTCCCCCAAATTGATGAACTTGCTGGATTGGATTGGTTAGAAGTGAATTTCATTTCTAGGGATGATTCATTTTCTTGGAGTTCAGCCGTGTTGGCGGTTTCATTTCTCTGCCCTTGGGTGGTTGAATTATTAGGGTCAGTAATTTGATTTGGATGACTTGCGTTGCAGAACCAGAAACCATGCCGAAGAACAAGGGTAAGGGAGGAAAGAACAGGAAGAGAGGAAAGAACGAAGCTGATGATGAGAAGCGTGAGCTGATCTTCAAGGAAGATGGGCAGGAGTATGCCCAGGTGATGCGCATGCTCGGTAACGGGCGTTGTGAGGCCACGTGCATCGACGGAGTGAAGCGTCTCTGCCATATCCGTGGCAAGATGCACAAGAAGGTCTGGATTGCAGCTGGTGATATAATTCTAGTGGGTCTCCGAGACTATCAGGATGACAAGGCTGATGTTATCCTGAAGTACATGCCTGATGAGGCCAGGCTTCTCAAGGCGTATGGTGAGCTTCCAGAGAACACTCGTCTCAATGAGGGTATTGCTGGAGGTCTCGATGAGGAGGATGAAGGTGCTGGTGATGACTACATTGAGTTTGAAGACGAAGATATTGATAAGATCTAAAGAGCTTCTGGATTGTGTAATATACTCTTGTTATATGCAAGCTATAGCTCTGTAATCTTGTCTTCTTACTGGATCTAGAGAGATTATGGTATTACCGAGTTTGTAGCTCCGCTATTTGCTATTTGGGGTACTTTCCTCGACTGAGAGACATACTTCTGTCGTTCCTATTTTGAATCTATTTTGCGGTTACTGGATTCATATCTTTGTGATGACCGAAGATCAGGCATTACAGAGTGGTGGCTCCTTTGAATTTTTCCATGGCTAGAAAGTAAAATCTCTAGTGTTTGGAAGGCAACTCTGCAAGATGCATTGAAAGTTTGGGTTCCAGCATATGCTTGCAGTTAAATTGGTGGAAGCTAGTAGCTTCATTATTGCTTATTCAATGATTTGATACTGAAACAATGGCTAAGATATCTAAGTTCATTTGATACATTGCTTTCAGTTCAGTTCACAAGGAAGTGCATATTGCCATAGTTGTAAGATGCTGAAGCATCTTTGCACTTGGTTTCTCTGTTGCTCTTTGATCTTTTCAGCTTCTGCCTTTTGTCGTGCTCTAAATTGGCACAACTCTTCTCCACTGTCTGTTTGAGAACAAGAAACATATTGACGAAGAAAATGTAAATTTCATACTGCAGTAAAAAAGATGCAACTGAGCTGTTCTCTTATTGAAAGCCAGAGAACTTCACCTTTTGCTCTTTTGGAGGATATTGGTAGCTTGGTACTGTTTTCCTCCTGGAGATACTTCTTAGAGGCTTGGCTCCGTTTTTGGTTGTGATGATGAAAGAGCCATTTTCTAATCCTGCGTCGGCTTTTAAGCTCTTTGCAGGGACAGGTACATCATTAGACCCACAACTCTCCCTCTCTTCTACTGCTAAATCCAAACATTTGCCTTTTCCTTCTCTATGGCTGTTGTTCTTTGATGGCTGTTCAAATTGCTTGTTTGAATGGCTCTCGAACGAGAATTCAGGAGCTCGGGTAGCCATCCACCTTTCAAGCCAATGCCAACTCATGCTAGGCTGCTGCTGCGTACATTCGGACCTGGCTTGCTTGCTCCTTGAGCAGATCCGCAGCTTTAATGAAAAAAACATGGTATATTCAATTGATGCATCAAAGATACTAATTTTGGATGTGAATGATCTTTCTTTTTTCTTATTAATGAAGCGAATAGTATCTTGATACCTGTTGTGAGAAAGCATAAGCAAGTGCTCGTTCACGACGGTTAGTGGCGTCCAGTCTATTCTTAATCCTCATTCTTAACATGTTACTGCTAAGCGTGCTGTCATCCCAGTCTTCCTGTAGCTCGGTCGACCATTGTAATCGTACAATTAGTTGCGTAAGTTTGATTTGAACACAAATGAACTTTTTGTTTGTTTTGAGTATTGTGAATTGTTTATCACCTTGGACCTGAAATCTTGGCATCTGCTGGCTTTCTTCTGTGCGTAGCGTTGTTCACCATTGTTTTCTGATATGGAGAGATGATCTGCAGAGTTACCAGTCTGAACCTCGACGGATGTGCTCACGGAGTACCTGCCAGGACTTCCACTTCCCATTTCTTGGTGCTGCTCCTGCTTATCACCACCATCCTTGGCTTTTGCTTCTTCCTCATCCCGACGTCTAGCCTGAATTTTTTTGGGAGCACCCACACAAAAGGGAATAAGCAGAATTGCTTTGATTGTTTCAGTCTCCTTTTAGAGTCTGAAGAAGTAAAACTAACCATCAGCTTTCGGAATGCAGTCTGGATGATGATCGCTGCATCCTGCTGAAGGAACAAGCTAGACTGCGTATTGTGCTCCTTTTTCTTCACTGCATCTCCCTCCTCGATCATCATTGCATTGGTCTCCACAGAATCATCAGCCAGAGCAAATTGTGAGACTCTAGGCTCCGAGCTCTTCACAGAAGCAGAATCCTCCTCACCTTGGACCGAGTTGAACTCATCCCCACAAAGGTATGATCTCACCACACTCCACCTCTTCTTCTCACCAGCATTGCTTCTTCCCTGAAACCCCAGAAAACCATTAGTGAACAAGAATCATTATCTCGCTTTCGGACAATGGAATTCATTAAGCAATCATTTGATGATTGACCTTGTTTGTTTTCCCCACTTACATTGCCATGATGGTGATAAGTTCCGAAAGAAGCAGAAGAACGTGTCCTGGAGAAGACACTCCGAACAATCCCTCCATTGATCCCCATAATACTACAATGATTATGAAGTCTCCCTCACTTATTGCCCCCTTGTTTCTTTTCCTAATGGCTGGAACGAATGAATTAATGAATGAAGGCTGCCTGCAAGTTATATGGAAGAGAAGAGAACTGTGAAGAGATGGGGGGGTTACTGATCCCTACTCAGATTCCTTCAATAATTACAGGCATTCCCCCCCGCAAAACCCCCCAAAAAAAGCACTTTAGAGGCTGGCACTGACTGACATTCCCCTTCTCTTCTATCCCCTTTTGCCAAAGTTATCTGCTTTGAGATCAAGGAAGCAGGGTGAGTTGATGGTAGGTAGTTTAATAATCAAAGCTTAGGCTGTAAAAATCAAGCCTTTTTCCTTAGAATAATTGAGGTTGTGGATGGAATCCGGAGATTAGATTAGGTAAGATGGCTTGGAAGTCACCCTTTTAGAGAGCACATGGGTTGCTCTTGAAATGGGGCAATCAAAGAAAACACCAGCAAGTGTTGTTTCCTTGCAAGTTGGGCTAATGTCTGTTCTCTGACTTTTTTTTCCAAGTGGCCCTCTCCCTTTCCTTAACTTGCCTTTTTCTCTTTTTAATTATCTCACAATGTGGGGGAACATGGCCTATGACTTTTTGGAAAAGACACCAATTTTAAGCTCTTTTTTTTTTTTTACCTGTCAAGGTGGTGAAACCATGGAGAAGGTTAGGTTAGTACGTCTGGTAAATAAGGCTGTTACAGGATGGTTCATACCGGGTGAAAATTATGGTTTTCCTTTTGCAGAGATGAGGGTTTTGATAATGGCACACATTTGTATTACGTTTGACATAGTTATGGGTCAGCCATTGAGCACATCATTTTTATCTTATGTCATGGCGGGTTTAGCAGAGGGACAAACTTCCAGAAACCAACAGACGGTTGCCATTTAGTTTCAACCACAAAGTGGTATGTACTATTTATGTCGCAGCCATGAAAATGACATGGAAAACTAGAATTAATCAAACTTCCATTCGGGTTTCGGTTTCTTTCATATGTGGGATGGCTAACGTTATCTAACAAATGCAAGTGTTGGAACCTATGGAATTTTTCTTTTAATGACAGAAGAACTTTTATTAATAGTCGTCATTTTTGTGACTGTCGCAAGTAGGATAAATTTAGGCCTGCCAACCTTGGGGAGGGGGGTTAAGCACGAAGGCGATGACCACCCTAACCCTTACATCTCTCGGTGAGGGCTGCTACTGAAGGAGTCAATATCTTTTAATGACAGGGAACCTGGTGATTGAACCTTGGACACTGTTCCACCCACACAGACGATGCTACATACCTCGTTCGCATACCCATCAAACTTGAGTTAAAGTAATATCTTTTTTTTTTTAAATTAGGAGAACATGTACAGGGGGTTTATTTGCGTGGTGAATTCAGAAAATGAGTCATTTGATAACACTAGATATTGTTATAAATTAAAAGATAAGAACAACAATATGAAAGAGTAGTGGAAAAGACACAAGAGAAGATGAGAGAAGTGTGTTTCTTATTCATCATACTCTTTTGTAAAATTGGGTGCTCTATTTATCATATAATCCTTAGAATTTTTTCTCTATTAATGCACATGAATGTGAGGTAATGAGCTATGAATATGATTTGTTTCCATAATCAATGTAGGGAGGTAAATAGCTCATAATATAGCATCCAATATAGAATCAAATGTGGCATCCAATGTAGAATCCATAATACTCCCTCTTGGATGTCTATTAATTGAGAATATGTCTCATTAAAACCTTATTAGAAGAAAAAAAATCTCATGGGACAAAATCTTAGTGAAGGAAAAAGAGTGCATAATCATGTCATTATACGCTATCTAAGACTGCCTCATTAAAAAATCTTACCAGGAAAAACTACGGAAAAAGTCATGGTTAAGAAAAAAGAATGCAGTGAGTATATAGTAAGTCCCTTCATGGGAACATCAGTTCAGATTTTTAACTCATCAAAGTGTAGCTTTGTAAATAAAATTTTCAAATATTGTCATGGTAAGTGTATCACTGAACAAATCTTTTAGATTGTCACTTTATGCATGATCCATTTTTTCATACATGATCTTCATGATCATTTCCTCTGAATATAGTCCACAACCACAAGTCATTTAAATGTGTTGAATCACAAATCTTAACCAAAGAATTCATAATATGCCTCATGAATTGCTAACCATTGTGCATGATCGAATCAGTAGCTATTGTGATTTGTTTGGAATCTCCATGAGATTGTTGTACGACCATAAGTAAACAAATAGCCCATCTCTTATCCTCATCATTACCTAAAGGTAACGAAGTATAAGCTCAATTCTATTCAGAGAGAGAAATTATATCTTGTTAATATATTAACACCGAATGATGTTGGATGGTGTATGGTTAGCAAGATACATTTGCGTTCTAAAGGCATCAATATACGGTACTTTACGATCCAATAATTCACTTCTATCTCAAGGCCTAAATTGATCTTTGTTCACTTTTAGTGATCATACGATCATTAGGCTACTGAACATATGTCGTTTTCCATTCAAAATTGCTCTCTCACTTTTTGACATTACCTTCCCGATCCAAAAAAAACCCTTCTTAAATCCTTCATGTTCAATTTCTTTCTTTAAGCAATGCATTACTTGATAAGCTATTCTGAAGTTCCAATAATATGTATATGAAAATACTATGAGATCGATATGAAATGTCTTGACTCTTTTCTTCTAAATAAATATAAAACTCAACTAACACAATTATATGCAAGCAATTACTTCATACCACAAAGTCACAAGCAAACACCACGTAATATGCACAACATCATTAAACAGCTGGTGGAAGACAATGGCGATGGAAGCACCTGGCGGTGGTGGCTGTAACAATGAGAGTGTATACGGCTAGGGTTTGGGGAGACTCCATGTTGGAGCCTGCTTTCGGTCAGTTGTTTCTGGTCCTTGAGCATTTTTGGTTTTGTTTCTTTCTTGCACTTTGTTGTATATGTGTATGAATCTCTCTATTTGGCTTGCCCATTTATCCATTTAATGAACAACTTTAAAAAAAATTAAGCAAACTACAACCATTAATCAAAACTCATACATAAAACATAAGACCACAATATCATACACATAAACCTATATGACATTGCACAATCACCCATGCCAAATCCATATGCAAGTGCTATAATTAGTGATGGCAATTTCAACTCACCCCGCGGGTATTACCCGACCTTACCCACGATGAGACGGGTATTACCCGACCCGCAGTAGCGTGGGGCGGGGCATGAGTATCTACTTCCGACCCGCTCTCCCCCCGCCCCATCCTATACCCATTTTATCTCAATTTCTTATAGTATCTATACATATTTCTCCTATTTTGACTTTTCTTCAACTAGTTAGAGTCGATCTTTCAACTTGTCAGACTCAATTACCCATTCTATTATCATTATTTTTCATTCATAAAGTGATTTTCCCTTTGTTTTATCGTAAAAAGTTAAATTCGCTTGTATTTTTTTCAAATAATATGTAAGAGTGGGTAGATCCGTCCTGCCCCGTACCCGAGCGGGTTTTACCCGCCCTGCTCCGTAGTAGCGTAGGGCGGGGCATGAAAATTGAGGAACCCAGCCCGCCCCCGCCCCATTGCCATCACTAGCTGTAATACACTTTATTTGGATTTAATCACCAAAGACTCGTTCAATCACTTCTTTTAGCAAACGTTCACTAGATGAATATACCATCTTCATCCATTTTGTCTCAATTCATACTAGGAATTGTTTCAATTGAACTATAAATGTTCTCGAGAACATCATATTTTAGCTTTCGACAAACTATTCCTTTAGTGAGTTCCGTATAAATATTATTATTAATGGATCCATACAAATATGATATCACAATATCTATCATTTGCAAAATTTATCCTTTTTGAACTGGCAAATTTTTTAAATTTCACCACAAAGAACTCTGTTTCCTCATAATTAATGTAAGGTTCTTACAAAAAACGCCTTACAAGAAATTGTGTTATATCTTTGAAAATTTTACACTTTTTCATACTTGAGGATTTGCAACATTCAATTTGCAAACGTGATAGAGTTTTCTCAAACTTTAATTTATTCATTAATATATATAAAACAAAAACCAGGATTACTGTTCACTAATCACTAAGAAGGATTAATTAATGTGTGTTCTCATTTTATTTTCGTAAGCGCGCGTGGCTACACCGGCTTTTTTAATTGGGCTCTAGCCCATGGGCTTCTGGTTTCTAATTGGATAGGGCTTAAGTCTCCTACTCTAAGTTTTTTTTCTGGCGTCTCCTCCACTTTTTGTCAATATCATTATCAACAGCAAAAGAAAGTTTGCCAATCTCTATCACAATCAATGTTAATGAGATTACAGGTGCTTTCATCAAATCTTTCTGCATTTTGAATAGGCTCCTGTGTCAGAATACGGAAGCAAGCGAGATAAGAAATTCACATTAGAGAGACAGATAGATAACAAATTTAATACCAACTAAATCTACATGCAAAGAGTTACTCCCTTCCTCTCAAGCTCTAGACAAAACTGCCTATTTCAAACCGATTATGCAGCGGGGGGATAAAGAGATTGTGAATGCAATGAAAGATTAGAAGACTGAAATCAAGCTGTAAGCATAAAATCAACTACTATGATTTCAAGTATTTTCCAAAGGAAGCTTCTGCGAGAAAGAAATTAAGTTTTTCTTTCTAATTAAGATTAAGATGACAAGGGGATAATAGATCAGCGAGGGAGTCATGGATGGTGGCAGTAACAGGGCGAATATAGGAAACAGAAGCATGGTTAGAAGGCGTCGAGGTTAGAGTTTGGGGTTTCCCATGATCAACCAAGTTAGCTTCTCTTCCTTTTGAGTAACTTCTTTCTTTGAATAAGTCGAGTATTGCATGGAATGCTCCTCTCAACCGCCATCGTTGATCATCTCGCCGACAGCTTTAAGGGTGCCACCGGCGGCGATGCCTAAGATAGAAAGAAAGAGAGACGGGAGAGAAGGTATTGATTCGGGCCTAATTCTACATATTTTGCCCCCGGTTTGTTTAGATGTTTGTGCCAAATTCGCTCATTAGAGGTTGGTTTTACGCGAGGTTCTTCGTGTTTGAGTGCTTTTCAGGATTTAACAGGTGGAACCAGCTTCGGAGTCGGAGGATTGGCGAAAAGGATAAAAAACCGAGAGAAAAGGTGAAAAAACGCAAGTTCACGGCTAAAGGTAGGAGTTCACGGTCGCGCAAGACCGTGAAAAAGGGGAGTTGACCATGAAGCGCAAGGCAACCAGAGCCAAGTTGAAGGTTACTGACGTAAGGCGAGTTCACGGTCACTAAGACCGTGAACACAAGCAGTTGCCCGTGAACAGCCGTGGTCGATGCGGAGCGTTTTGGCGCAAGGCGTGAGTTCGCGGACACGTTTGATGGTTCACAGCCGTGAACTCAGGCCGTGAACTCTGCTCTTCTCATGTTTAAAAGCTGAGCTGCAAGGAAAGGAAAAAAAGAAACCACTTTTGTGAGAGAAACACTTCTTCTGCATTTTAGTGAGAGAAACAGAACCAAGAAGAGAAGAATAGGTTAGGGCTTGGCTTCAAAGGAGGTTTTGGGAAGATTTCCCCAAGGAAATCCCAGCTCAAGGTTAAAGAAGAGAGGAGGCATCCCCAAGAGATGGTTTCCACCTTTTTCCTCTTTGTTCTTCCCACATCTTCCATGGAGTAGTCCTCCTCCCACTTGGGTGTAGTGAAACCCTAAACCCTACTATGTAGTTTTCTTGTATGTCGTTTGGATAATTGATATTGGGTATTGTTCAATTTAATGTTTGAGGTATTTTTCAACATGATTTTGCATGCTTGTGCTTAGCAACTTAGGGGTTGTGCATATTTTGTGCTTAGCATCCTAGGGATTGTGCATAATTGTGCTTAGCACCCCCTAAAATTTTGCATTTTGGTGCTAGTAATCTAATTTGCCAACTTAGACTAGTTTAGAGAGGAAAATCCCCCGTTTAAGGGAGACTCAATCGAGTTGGTTTTCCTTCCGCTTTCCAAGCCACCTAAACTAGGATGAGTTAGGGCAACCCTCAATATTGAATTGAACAAGTCGATTAATCGTGGTTAAACCGTCTGACCTAGAGTTGAGTGAGGAAGTAAGCCGATTACCGATTGTCTAAACCGAGAGGGTCGAGTGACACGACCTTTCATCCTCACCTCGGTTTAGCAATGGAGACTGTGGTCTCCGAACACATACGCTTTCCTCTACGGTTCACGATTAACGTGCCCAAGACAATCATTCCAACCCATTTAGCATGATAGCGCTTAAAGGGGGAGCGAAACCCAAGTGATTTTCCCACAAAAGAGTTTTCAAACTGACTCGCTATGACACAACATCTAACAATGGCCAAGTATAACCAATGAAAGGGACTGCAGTATAGTGGCTCAAGTAATAAATATCGAATCCACGGGTCTCTAGAGTTACTATTACTCAGCTTCAGTTCATTATCTAGCAAACCAGATTAAGATGAAAGAACTAAAACTACTCTAGCAAACTACAGTTAAAATTAACCTAATTACAGGTTGGGAACTCACTTAGGTATGATTCCCCCTAGCCACTAGCCAGATTATTGATTGATGATCTCCAACCTATTTCACTTTCATTCACAATGCGGAGAATCCTTAACTAGACCTTGAGTCTCGACTAAAAGAACAAGGCCCTCTTGAGTCAATTGCCCAGAGGGACGTATCCTTCTCTAGAACAACCGATCAAGGCGTTCTGGACTAGACTCCCTCTATCGAAAGAGGTTCTCAATCGATACAAAGCAGTGAATCAACCCTCGACTAAAGCAATCGATCCAATACTATCAATCTATGATGCTCTATTGACCTAATCAGGTATTCGCTCTCATAGGATCAAAGCAGAATCAATAATCTCGACTAAAGCAGAATTGAATCATGAAAACGTGCATAGATTGAATATGAACTCAAGATTATCAAGTAGGAGTACTCATACAATCATCCAATCAAACAAACATATCTAGGGTTCCTCAAAACCTAAGTGGAGGGAAGTTACTCCACAGAGAAGAGAGAGACTGTAGTAAGAATCTTCAGATGATCAGTCTTCAAGTCCGGGCTTGTTCCTCGAGCTTCCAAGGCGAAGAAATCCTCCAGTTCTACTCCAAGAATGCCCTCAAATCGCCCTCTCTCTCTTTGGCTCGTCCCTTGGGTGTTTGGGATCCAAAACCCAGCTCTCCTCTTGCAAAAATGCACAAAATAGGCTTTAAACAGCCTGCGTTCGCGATCCCCGGTCAGAATCCCCTGTCGGGTATTTTAGGTAAAGGCCGGGGATTTTCAAAACGCAACGTCTGGAGACAGGGGAAAATCCCCTGTCAAGGCCAAAAATCCCCTACTGGGGATTTTAGCGTCACGATAGGGCCCCCTTCTGTTTCTCAGAGAAGCCCGAAACCAATTTTCCCCGGTCTGCTCCAAATAATACCCGATCGGGTATTTTTGCCCATGACCGGGTATTTTGCAGTTCCGAGTCCCCTATCTTTGATTCTTCGTTTCTCCCTCGTTCGGACTCCAAATCAGGTGTCATTTGATCCCAGAAGCTCGTAGTCTCGTCCTCTTTCTTCTCATGATAAGATTACATGATTATATGGTCACAATTTGAGGTAGAAATCCATTCTTCTTCAAGTCATGCCCGAGTTTCTTCCCTCGAGTCGCCAATTGATCTCCGATTGACTTGAAACTTGCGCCTACGCTTCACTTTATGTGCTAGGACCTGAAATGTGACAAAGGAATACAACCTAGCGTAAAATAGGTCAAAGAAGCGATAATTCAAGCTTAAACGATCAAGAAATAAAAGGGAAAACATGTGCAAATATCTAGTCATCACAAACCAAATTACTTTTGCTTTCTTTCATTTCAATTGGCAAACCTTTAAACCAAAGTTTTATCGCTAGATAATGATTTCAACACCCGAAGTAGGGGTAGGCGGACCAGCCTGAATCGATTAGAGTTTAAAAACTTGGGCTCTAATTGTGATTTAATTGTAGTGTAGTTTCGAACGAGTCATGTATATATATTTGTATATGGAATGAAAGATGAGAAAAGATAGACTTCTTTTATAAAGAGAAGATAACTAGGTAAGTCTCAACTCTCGAGGGACATGAGTGGCTGATATAAAAAAAATAAAGGGATATAATTACTATTACCTTAAATATTTATTTTTTCCTAGTTATCTTAAATGTGTTTGATGAATCATTTTCGTCTCGATAATGAACTAGTAGTTTCTTCCAAACAGATAAAATGGGCCAGGCCTTTTCCCTCGTTGACAGGCCAGCAACAACACGCGTATGGGGCCTAGTTATTATTTATAGGGATAATACCACTAGGATATCCGAACTATTAAGAATGTGTCATTTGTGTTATAAAGTATCCAATATGATATATGTGTCCTAAACTATTTTTCCATTATAGTTCACCGTAAGTATTTAACAAATGACACATTCTTAATAGTTCGGGTTATGACATAAATGACACAAAACTATAATAGGTTGGGACACAAATGTCATATTAGATACTTTAGGACACAAATGACACATTCTTAATAGTTCGGGTTTCCTAATGGTATTAGCCCTTATTTATATTATACAAAGCCAAAGCAATATTACTGTTGCCTAAACTTTTTTATTTTTATAAAGTTGCTTAAACTTTTGAGCCAAACTCCATTGATTCTCTACTTTCAATGCATATGATTTCCATTTTTAGTATTTAGCACCACATAATCCATAATTGTAATTTTTTGGCATGAGAAATTTGGTTAGGCATGCTTATTATACAAAATGTTTCTCAATTTGAGAATTGTGGAATTATGATAATAATGATTTAAAATTATTTTTATTAGGGTCGACAAAATTATCTCAAATTATAGATATCTGCCCGAATCCGATCTAATTGGGTAGGATAAAACTCGAACCCGAAAGATTTTTCATGGGTATGGGTAAAAGTCGTATCCGAATATTGCGGGTAATGGGTGTGCATGATTTTCTCACTATCCAACCCAAATCCGCCCGATTATACACATGCACATGCATTTTGTCTAGAATTGATTATTATTTTTCTCTACAAATTTTATATTTATTATACAAATAACGTTTTCATGAAATTGTGTTGTTTTAAGTATTTTTTTAATTTTTTTAATTTATTGTCGTATCTTTTCACTTATGTAATGACACTATTCGTGTGAATGTTAACATGTTGGATAGTGTTATAAAGAGAAATTATTAGTCATATATAACCATGGATACGCGAAATATCGGATATGGGTAAAAAATTTCAAATTTTTTATCCAATTCTCGACCTAATCCGTTGTCATTGATAATTTTATTAATCCTTTTTCATTTCTTCCATTTGACAGAAATTAGGAATGACATAAATTAAGGACTATCCGATCTTACAAATTCATTTTTGTAAATACGTCATGGAACGCCACCTTAATGATTTTAGATTCTACTTATTAAAATAAAAGGAGACAACCAATAAAATAAAAATAATAAACAACCTTGGCCGCTGCAGAGTGCGGCCGCACCTATCTAGTTATATACAAACCTAAATATAGGTTACTGTTCACTAACAATTTGACTGACTCAACTTTAAAACCTACAAACCGCATCAAAGTTCGAGGAAGAGAAAATAGTCAGGTGCCCACTTAAAGGGTTAATTGCATGGTTGGTCACTGAGATTACAAAAAATGTTTAAGTTTGGTCACTCTAAATATTTAAATCCATTGGTGGTACTTCACTCTTTACAAAAATCGTTCACATTTGGTCACTCTCCGTTAGCTGCCGTCCATCTCCGTTAACAGACTCCGTTAAGTGATGACGTGGAGGACGAAATCGTCTAATGAACACTATTTAACCCGAAAATAGTCTGACTCGAGCCGCCACGTCATTGAAACCCACCAGCTCATCTAAACCTACCTAACCCAACTCTAACCAAACTAGATCCGACCCACCAACCCAACTACCCACTAAGAAAAATCAACACCTTTTCTTCTCCCTTCAACTGCGAATGAGGCACCACCGCCATGCCTTTCATCCTCGCCATTCCTGCCACTTTACCTTCTCTCCGAAGATCCTCGCACTCACTCCTAATCTTCGGTCTTCTTTCTCGTCAATTCTCCAGCTTTCAGGCGCTGTTCTCTTCTGTATCTATGCTGATTTCGATCGACGTCGCTGCTTCCGGCGCCTCCTCTAACTCTCCGCGCAACTTGAATGCAGGGAACAGATCTCTGGTTAAGTGGATACCCGCCGTCGCAGCCGCGCAAGTTTTGGCGGGTTGTACTACTTGTCCCGGCCGCTTGATACCGATCACACTGATTTTCGTTTCTTCAAGAAGCATTTATCGTCCTTCTTTGACCGGTCAGCGACTATCGCGGGCGGCGAAGCTACCTCAGCCAGCGATTGTCGTGGAAATTCCTCCTAGTTTCACAAACTTTCTTTGCCGGAGTACAGATCGAAGTTCCTCTTTGGAGGTGAGTTTTTTACTTTGGAGCTTAGACAGGCAGTGAGTGAGTCAGCGAATGATCGTTCCACGTCCTGTATTGCCTTGGGAATCCCACACCACCGCCTCTGCCCAACCGGGCCCAACCCAGCTCCTCCCCGCTCTCCGGACCATTCTCTTCGTTGCTGAAGGCTGAAGGCAGAAGGGGAAGATGTTGATTTTTCTTCAATTTAGGGATTTAGTCTTGGTAGGTAGTTGGGTTGGTGGGTCGGGTCGGATCTGGTTTGGTTAGAGCTGGGTTAGGTAGGTTTAGATGAGCTGGCGGGTTTCAATGATGTGGCGGGTCGGGTCACACTATCTTCGGGTTAAATAGTGTTGATTAGACGATTTCGTCTGCCATGTCATCACTTAATGGACTCTGTTAACGGAGATGGACGACAGCTAACGGAGAGTGACCAAACGTGAACGATTTTTGTAAAGTAAAGTACCACCAATGGATTTAAATATTTAGAGTGACCAAACTTAAACGTTTTTTGTAATCTCAGTGACCAACCATGCAATTAACTGACAAGAGAAGAGAAGAGAAGCAGGGAGGTTAAAACAAAACATCACATCATATTTGTTGATGATGGTGTCTACTTTCACGGCTTGCCTTATATCCTTGAGCTACACTTTTGATAAATATGCGTATAAGACATAGTTTTAGTTTTATAGTATCGTTGTTTTGGTTTACCAAAAAATATAGGGGCGGGCATTAGGGATGTCAATCAAACCCATGACCGCGGGTATCCAACCGCCCCCGACCCAGTCAACGCCGGGAATTCCTGCTTTGACTGGGTATGGGGAAGGGGAGGCTAAAACCATACCCGCCCCATACCCATCAAACTTTTTGCGGGTTTTTATGTATTTCTTTGCATTCTTGGCTAAAACCATACCCGCCTTCCATAACCCTTTCTTTATTTATTTCTTTGCATTCTTGGTCTAACCCTAATTAGTATACTATTTTTATGTATTATAATCACAAGTATTAACGGGTTCATACACTACTGACCAACTGTCTAGAGAATTAAAAATTGAACCATGAACCACTAACTTTTTAAGTACAATGTCGAGTCCAATTAAAAATAAATATATATGGTTATTACTTATTAGAAAGTTGTCATTTTCCACTATGGGGTTTGAAGGCGTGAAATTTTAAACGAGTTCCAATTTGTAGTAAAAAAAATTTTGCCGGTAATTATCAAAAATTCTATTAAGCTCCGCCTGACAAAACAGGGCCCTCCAAAAAACCATGAGCCGTGCTCTACTGTTTTGCTTACAAAGATACAAACAGAACAACTTTCAAACTTCCTATTCTGAATACAATAGACCACTCAAGTGAGAGAATTTCTTCATATATAAAAAATATGTGCATCAAATTATAATATATCAATGATGATGAGGATAACTTGAGAAAATAAATAGTAAAAATGCAATTGAGTGACCACCTTAATTAAAACCTAATTCATTTCTCTCAATTCTCATTTCACTCTTTCACTTTCCCCCTTGTCAACAAGTTTATGTTAGTTAATTATAACTTAGTAGATGTATTAGAGTTAGAACATAATAATTTGAAAAATATTATACTATATATTATGTATTATTGGATATTTTAGGATCATATTCTTTGAACCATATTAAAAAAATGACTGTGTTTTGTTGGCTTCATGATATAATATGTTCGTTTAGAGTTATAATTAAAACTTTTCTTGTAAGTTTTAGGTATAATAATGTTGGATGTACGGGTATGGGTATTACCCATGGGTACCCGAAACCCACGGGTATGGGTATGGGTTTGCAAAACATTCCCCCGCATGGGTATGGGACGGGTATGGGTTTGGGTATTTGAAGATGGGTATGAGGGCGGTTTAGGAAAACCCGCCTCATTGCCATCCCTAGCGGGCCTGGGTAGTTCCCACGATCTGACCCATCTCATTCTTGACCCGTTTTGTCTAAGTTATATGTAATTTTATTTAAATTATTTGTGATTTTATTTTCTTACATCATATTTTAGCTATAATAAAATTGTAAATTTCATGAATAGTCTAACTACAATTATCGTGTCATAATTTGCTTCTTGATTTTTTAATGAAGAAAAAAATGTTTCTTGTGTTTTGCCTTCAAAGTACATACCTACATCGAGATACCCACTCTAACCTGCCCATTGTATTTACTGTATATAACAAACTACGACAACCCTTAAAAAACTGAATCTAATATTTAACTTTATGGTGAAAAAGATAAAATTTTCTCCCATTTTGTTTATTTTCTTCTTGACAATGTTTACTAATAGACTGGTAAAACACATAATTACCCGCAGTAGAGCACATGGCGTGAACAATGTTTGACATTTTGTTTGTCAAGTGTCTTAGGTAGGGGTGGCCGTTCGGTTACCAGTTACCCGGCTGGTTAAACCAATAACCAAACTTCGGTCGGTTATTGGAGGTTGGAAAAAATGGTTTTTGGTCTTACAAGTGGTTCGGTTAATCGATAACCGAGATAACCGAGAAACCGAAGCCTCTTTCGGTCGGTTTTCGGTAGAGAAGGTGGTTATTTTGGTTAACCGATAACTGGCCGATCGGTTACCGGTTATAACCGAAATAACCGAATTGCCACCCCTAGTCTTAGGATAATGTTTGACATTTTGTTTGTGGGGAGAGAGAAACTGAAAAAGAATATCTATTAAATGAATAAAAACGAAGTTTGAGGTGGTGAAGAAAAAATATCAAATGGAGTACGTTTGATAGACCATTACACTTGGTCGCAGTTTGGTGTTGTGGCGTAGCGTGTCAATTTTTTGGCGCCGTTGCCGGGGAACCTCTAGGTTATTGTAGAAACGTGAAAGTCTGTTACTTTAGCTTTTTTTCTTTTCTTTTCCACCCTTGCTTTTCACTTGGGTGTTATGTTTTTGTTGGTGCAGATCTGAAACATGGATTCTCATGGCTTCTCCAACCATTGGGGGTATCAACCACCATCCGTGTGATATTACCCCGAGACTTCCTTGAGCAATCAAGGAGGAGAAGACTATGGATTCGGATGTCAGTACCAACCCCCTACTACGGAGAACAACAAAACCCTTGGGAACCTCAAGAACAATATCCTTTTCAAGAAGAGTTCCTGCCACAACCAGAGGGGCCATCTGAGTTGGAGTTAGCTATGGAGGCCTTCACGGGCCACTCTGCAGAGCCATGCTACACTTCACTAGAAGATCCGAATAAACAATTAAGGCTTCTCGTGGAGCAGTTTGCTCGAGACACTGAGAGATCATGCTCCAAGATTGATCTTCAAATCAAAGCCCTTGCCCCTTCTGATCCCTCATTTCTCCATGAAATGGAGGAGACTGTTCAGTGCTCAGCGAAGCAAACAGAGTGGGTGGAGCAAGTTTGCTCACATCCTGCTCAAGATCACCTTTCTACTACCACGCTAGAAGAGGTGGAGGATGACAAAGGCTACGGGGACGTTGAGGAGCATACAGAAGTTATCACAGAGAACTTCCATGATAATCACGATCAGGAAAGTCCTCTGGTTGCAAATCACACCTTTCCTCATTTCTGCTCTAACATGCTGTGCCCGAGCGAGGAGATGCAAGATGATCTCATTGAAGAAATTACATGGCGACTTGCTCTCCAATCTGTTCTAGAAGAAGAAGAGCGAGAAAGGGTGAGGAAAGGAGTTGTGGAGGATGATGAAGAAAGCAAAGAAGAGGAAGTTCTTGATCTTTTCCAAGGGGAGAGACCACATTCCGATGAAGGAAGGGGGTTGAGGAAGCAATTGGCGTCTAGGCTGAGGATGAAGTTGAGGTGGAAGAGGCTTGCACCGGCCCTATGTTACATTTGATATCTCCATCACACTTCGAGGAGCTGCTTGGTGAGGACCCATTTGCAGTGTCTCTTTGCCAGACCAAGACCACATCAACATCAATCCCTCTTGGTGGATGCGAAGGTGGTCAATCGAATATATCTTATCTGGTTTGGGGCAGTGAGACAAGAGCAGGCGCGAAGGAGATGTCTCGTGAGTGGAGACTTCATCTTCCTCAAGGCCACGAGCCATCTTCATCACCTATCACATCACCTGCTTGTGACTTGACTCCACATCATCGACGAGAACCTCAACTTCAAGGAGGTTTTGGGGTGGACCGAAACTTAGGAGCCACCGTCCAGATAAGACGTAAAGAAGCTCTTGTGGGGAGGCAACCCCACCAAGGTTTGTTTTTCCTTCGTTTGTTTTCGGTTTTTCCACTTGGAACTATGGTTTCTATCACCCAGTGTGTTTTGATGACTCTAGACCTGCTGGCTGGTCCCATTTCCAGTCCCCCGACAGTCCGTATTCCAGGTAACATCGTTCCACCTTATCTTTTCCTTGCTCCATTGAGGGCAATGTCGTGCTTAAGTGTGTGTGTGTGGGGGGGGGGGGTGTTTATCTATTTTTGACTGCTATATGAGTTTGTGTGCTTAGAGCCTAGTCCACTGTCCAATTTGATGAATTGAGGGCTCCAAGTACTGTTCCCTGCAAAATCCTGCTAAGTATGCTTTGAATTGACAGTCTTTATGGTGATATGCAACCTAGGGAGGTAGTTCTAGCACTATGGAGGATGTTGAAGTATAAGATTTTTCCTATCTGTCTCTCTGCTATGCCGGTTGATTTTGTGAACTAGTGGATTTAGGACCGTTGATTCATGTGGTATTGATGACTCCTCTTATGTTATGTTGTGGGCTCGTGTATCAAAAAAGGGTGCTCAAGTGTGAAATGATAACAAGCAGTTGATCCTCCATGTCAAAAATTTGAAATTCTAAGACATGGGGTAAGCCCAACGTGTGTGGCACCGTTCATTGCACAAAATCGGGTTTTGGAAGCGATTTTAGTGATCCTTGGTGGGGTAGGCCTACAAGGTGAAGCTAAGTTGTCTCTAGTACAAGTAAAATTTTCACCCGTTGAACGGTTTGCCTTCTTGAGGATGTGTTTTAAGGGCACGGATAGAGCTTCCGACCCCCCTTAATTTCATTGATCCTCCACACAAAGTGAGGAATA